TTACACCATCAACCCGGCACCCCACACACCCCCCTCCCCACAGTCACTGAAACTGTATACGAATATTTAAAAAAAAATGTACATCAACTACCATCACAACCCTACCGCTGCACGACTGCCGGACACACCATCCCCATACCCACCCCAGTGAAACACAATCGCCCTCCGAGAAAAAAACACCCCAAACACACATGCAAAACCACAAAACAAGAATTCAAAAACCAAGAATAAAAAAACACAGATTATCACTCAGACGACGAAATACCTGACGTTGAACGGGAAGAGCTGCCTCTCAATCGTTTGGATGCCCTAGAGCTCGAACCCGCCATGAGTAACTCGAACCGACCACGCCGTACCCCTAGTACCGAAAAAATCACCCAAACCTCCACACCAGATGACTAAGACCGGACGAAGATCAGATACACCGGCCGGAGAACAAATGCTTTCACACGACGAACGAAGCGACGCAGAGGAAAGTGAATCGTCGTGAGTGGAGAGAAGCAGAGGAAAGTGAATCGTCGTGAGTGGAGAGAAGCGCAGAAGAATCCTAATATTACTATACACAGCCCAAAAATCCGCAATCAAATATACTAAACAAATTAAACACGTTATATAAAGACAATACAACCCCTCTAATAATTACCAGTACACGGATTAATGACATCAAACCTAAATCTGAACCGTTCACATAAACAAAATACATGGTGATGATTAATGCTCACAAACTCATCTAATTGGGGGGTTGCACCGGATTCAAATATATATATATATATATATATATATATATATATATATATATATATATATATATATATATATATATATATATATATATATATTAATTGTATATAATATCTATATATAAATGATAGATGATATTACAGAAATGCTCCTAAATTTTAGGGGGGAAATTTGGTTAGGAAGATTTTTCTTTTAATTCTTCCAAAAGGCTGAACCCCAATCCTAAGGGCCCCACACCCCAATTTTTCTTTTAATTATATATAGATATAGATGTGTGTGTCTGTCTATACCCACAAACATGTTACAAAAGATATAGGATTTGTTTGGCACGCCAAGCAGAAATGTTAACTGAAAGCTAAATGCTGAAAAGTTAGTAGCTAATAAATTAAGTAATTGAATTAAAGTGTTTGATAAAATTAATCGTTGAATTAGCTGATAAGTGTAACAAAAAAAAAACATAAAAGGATAAATTAAGATATTAGGATTTTGATTAATGAAGGGTAGATAATGCCATTTTTGTAAATTAATAAAGATAAAAAAATGTAAAAAGTCAATAGTTTAAAAAACACAATTTGAAATAACGTTTCAAAGTAAGCTATTATTTTAATACCCAACCGCAATGCAATATTTCAATGATATGTTTGGTCTGAAATGGATTATTTCAATCAATTTTTATTATGTTATAATTTATAAATATTTATGTCAATTCAAATCATATTAATTATATTTTACATTGTGTTTAAAATATCGGCTAAAATAAAGTACTCCGTAAAACACTATTGTAACCAAAGGAATATTTAATTGATCATCAGCATGCACGAAGACCAAAAAAGGTTAAAAAAACAAAAAAAGAATTGGCAGAGATAAACACAGGGAATCATTTCATCTGCTTCACGACCTTTCACGATGCTGACCACCAGTAGTACTCAATGATTCTATCCAATTTTCGTGGATACAATGAATGTGCTGCGTTTCTCCATCGAATCTCATCTTTTTAGTTTTTATCATTTCCATACGCCCATGTTCTTCGGCAAAATTACTCATCAAGCCACTACTTTTTTTTTCGTTCCCTGACAAAGTAGGCAAATTATGCCCTGGACCCGTGTCCACAATGAATTGTGGACACGGGCCCAAAACAACGTCGTTTTTAAAAAAAAAAAACGCGTCATTTAGTTAAAAAAAAAAAATTTACTCGCGTTTTGCCGTTAACAATGTTATTATTATTATTATTTTTTTTGGATTATGAATGTACAGTTATGTTGTTATGAATGTACAGTTATGCCGTTATGAATGTACAGTTATGCAATTATGAAATTATGAACACAGAGCTCTAACATTATGAACATATATAGTGATAAAATTATGATCATGGAGCTTTAAAATTGTGAATATAGAGCTTCGAAGATTATGAATGTACAGTTATGGAGTTATGAATGTACAGTTATAGAGTTATGAATCTACAGTTATGGAGTTATGAATCTACAGTTATGGGATTATGAATCTACAGTATGGAATTATGAATGTACAGTTATTGATCGAATTATGAACAAAGAGCTCTAACATTATGAACTTACAATTATGAACATATAGTGATAAAATTATGAACATAGAGCTCTAAAATTGTGAACATAAAGCTTCGAAAATTATGAATGTACAATTATGGAGTTATGAATGTACAGTTATGGAGTTATGAATGTACAGTTATAGAGTTATGAATGTACAGTTATGGAGTTATGAATATACAGTTATTAATATATAGTAATAAAATTATGAACATATACTCCTATAACGAAGTAGTCTGAAATTTAAAAAAAAAAAAAAAAAGATAACAGTGCCTAACGGCACTGTTACCCGTGTCCAGCAAGCATGCTGGACACGGATCCAACACATAACGATTGGACAAAGTAACAAATAGGTTCACAAATTGATTGAATGATATAATTAAATTCTTTAACCTCAGCTTAGAAACACGATTTTTTTGAAAAATAAATTACTTTTTTTAAAAATATTTTATTTTCTAGTATTTGGTTGAAAGTCAAAAAATATTTTTTTCTATTTGTTAAAAGTTAGAAAATTCTAAATTTTTTAATGTTTGGTTCATTTGTTAAAAATATGACCATAAATCTCTTGCAAAATTAATTCTTATAAAATATTAATTATTTTAATGTTCATAATAACTATTATTTATATTAAAATAAAATTATAAAAGAAAAATTTATAATAGTTATAAATTTTAATAATAATTATAATAAAAAGATGTATATAAATAATTTTTAACTTGTTATAATAAAAATAAATACATAAATTGATAAATATAATAATTCAAAACTAAAGAAATTGAAGAATTCTTAATTTTTTTTGGAATGTGTGCTAGGACGGGCCATGCCACAATTTTTATTGTCTAATTTGACTACTCTAATTCATATTTAATTAGACTCCCCCTATTATCTTCACTTAATTCCCCTTTTTTAAATTGTTGGTCTCGGGTGTGAGAACACGTCTAAGCGGTGGGGGTAGGGTGAATAGAATTGTTAGTTTTTTAAATATTGAACTCTCTAATGTCAATTGACTTTGACTACAGTCAACTTCTCGAACAACCTTTCAACTTGGTTATTTGACTCAAAGTCAACCTTACCTTCCAGTATAAATGAACTATCTGGTTGGTTTACTTTCTGTGAGTCTTTACTCTTTGGTGCTAATGAACCATTCGGTTCTTTTACTATTCGACTCTTATACTATTTAACCTTTGTACCTTACAAGTCTTCAACTCTTCGGCCTTGAACTCTTTTGTTGTTGACTCTTCGGATGTGTACCATTTGTCAACTTACTTATTTGTTCCTTGAACATTTTGGTCCAAATTACTTTTCGATTAGCTCCACCTTAGTTTGCGGATGAACTACTATTTGGTTATTTTACTTTCTAGGTAGTATAGTTTAATCTTTTCTAAGTTTAACCTTTCAAATATTACGAGTGAAAACCTAAGTCTAAAGATTGAAAAACAGTTAGGGACCTAAATTCTTAGTTTGTTTGGTATCATCAAAATCTAATACAAGTAGTTCCTAATATTAATCATTTTTCAATGCATCTTCTCTAAGAGCTTAGTTGAATCTAATTGACCTAAGTTAGGTAGCAACTTTGGTGATATTTCAAACCTTTGTTCCTACCCTGACTTCCTTGGGAGTTACACATTGCTTTACCACACTCCTACTCCTTTATTTTATTTTATTTTATTTTATTTATACACCATCACAAACATGAACTTAATTGAATAAAGTCATAGCAATATAGGTGATAATTTGAATATATGTTGCAACCCCCCCCCCCCCCCCCCCCCCCTATCCCTGTTAGATATATTAGGAATGCTTTTAATTACTTTCCTAGTCAATAACCTATTGTATAGGGTATCTATTTATTCCTATTATTGTAACCTTTCAGTGATAATTATCAAATCATAACAAACTCCTTCATTTGGTATTAGATTAGCGTTAGATTTCCTTCTTTCTCTCCCCAAACTTCCGATGGCCACTAATTCTTCTGAACGTACGATGAGCACGGCTGTCGCACCAGCGCCGTCGACCACCACTCCAAATCATCTCAGCTCAGCCCATCATTTCGTGTTGATCAAGTTGACGACACGAAACTACCTGTTCTAGCGCACGTAGCTCGTCCCGTTCCTCCGGACCCAAGGGCTGCTCGGCTACGTCGACAGAGCAACGCCGTGTCCGCTGGCCATGATCACCTCGGCTCTAGCCGGCGGCGGCAGCACATCAGATGAGGCAAGCTCTACCGCTGCCAATCCGGCGTTCGCCGTCTGGGTTCAGCAGGATCAATTGATCCTGTCGTTGCTGATCTCCTCGCTCTCCGAGGAGGTCATGTACCTCGCGGTTGGCCGCTCCATCGTGAGGGAAGTTTGGTGCTCCATTGAAATCGCCCTCGGATCGTCAACCCGTGTCCGGTGCCTCAACATCCTCGGCCAGTTTCAATCTCTCCGCCAAGGTGATATGTCTCCGACCGAATATCTAGGATGAGCGCAACTTCTTGTCGAGGACCTCGCCCTCACCGGACGTCCGATGTCCCTTGAAGAATAGAAATTGTATGTCTTCAGGGGACTGTGGCCGGAATTTTGGGCAATGGCAACAACTCTGGCAGTGTTAGGAAACCCTGTATCCATTCCTCAATTGTTTGATTACCTGCAAGCACAATAGTTCATCCATTCCGATGATTTCTCATCGGGATTGGTGGCCGAAAACCCTATGACAATGGTGGCTAGTAGGGGACACCGACAGAATGGAGACGGCAGCTCAGGGGACTGGCAGAACCGCGGAGGTGGTCGCGGTAACCAGTGGCAATCGCGGGGGCGTGATGGACAAGGGTGTGGACGCGGTGGCTTTCCCCGGTGTCAGATTTGCCGGTCACACGGTCACATAGCCGTGTACTATTTCTGGCAATACTCTGACCAGCCGCCGGCACAGGCGAACCTGGCAGTTAACGGCGATGGTGGTGCAGCGCCGGATGTCGTGTCGTGGTATCCAGACACCGGAGCCTCCTCCCATGCGACTTCAGATCCGGCGATGATGGCTCACTCTGAGGACTACACCGACAATGATGTCCTCCGGGTTAGAAACGACACATGTTTGGGTATTTCTGATATTGGGTGTGCTACTCTCCCATCAGTTTCTAAATCTTTAAATCTGTCAAATATTCTGCATGTTCCTGATCTTTCAGTTTCATTATTATCTGTTAACCGGTTTACCACTGATAATAATGTATTTTTTGAATTTCACCCCACATATTTTGTTGTGAAGGACTACATCACCAAAACAGTGCTTCTTAGGGGTCCAAGTTCGGGTGGCCTGTACTCATTATCTATTCCATGGTCACACCTAGCATTTCTGTTCGCTCGGGCTTCCTCCGCAGTTTGGCATCGTCGCTTAGGCCACCCGCATGCTCGTGTCCTCCAATCGTGTCTAGTTGTTCCACAGAAATCAGGTCCACCGGGTCTCTGTTCGACCTATCAATTGGGCAAATCCAGCTGTTTTCCATCAGACAGAATAAATTCTACTAGTTTCGCTATTTTAGATCTAGTGTACTCGGATATTTAGGGTCCAGCACCAGTTATTTCTGTCGAAGGTTTTCGATATTTTGTTTTGCTCGTAGATGACCATAGTCGTTTCTGTTGGTTTTATCCTCTCCGTGTAAAAACTGATATATATATATATATATATATATATATATATATATATATATATATATATATATATATATATATATATATATATATATATATATATATAAAGTGTTTGATATTTTTAGGGCCATGGTAGAACGGTTGTTTTCACGTTCTATCAAGGCCATCCAGTCTGATTTAGGGGGTGAATACCGCCATCTGCAAACCTTATTTAAAAATCTGGGAATTGTGCACAGGCAATCCTGTGCCTACACACACGAGCAAAATGATCGCGTAGAGCGCCGACATCGACACATTGTTGAGACCGGTTTAGCTCTTTTGGCTAAAGGCGCGGTCCCATTAAAATACTGGGACTCCGCATTTGAAACAACCACATACTTCATAAATTGCCTACCATTCTCAGTCCTACAATTTCACACACCATATTACAGGCTTTATAAAACACCTCCTACATACACGTTCCTCCGAGTCTTTGGGTGTCTGTGTTACCCATACCTATGTCCCTACAACCGTCACAAAATCGAGTATCGGTCTGCCCCATGTGTCTTCTTAGGTTACCCTACGTCATTTAAGGGGTATCGTTGCTTAAACCTTAATATTGGAAAAACTTTTATCTGTCGCCATGTGCGGTTTGACGAATCTGCCTTTCCCTTTTCTACAGCAACTAATGTACATGGGTCCGTATTCAATTATCCGACTCCAATATACCATGGGGCTCAAGCCCAGTGGTACCGTCCGTAGTCCCCTCATCAAGCCCATCGGCCACTCAGTTAGCCATATATAGAGGGGGTTGCACCGTTCAATCATTATTGTGTGGACCATATTTTGCCTACTATAAAATAAGAGTTAATACCATCTGAGGTCCCCCGAGTATAGTGGTTTTGCCATGTTTAGTCCTAAACTTTCAAATTGATCATATATGGTCCTTCGACTTTCAAACTTAACCATTCGTGGTCCAAGTTAACCACACATGGTCCTTCAACTATTAAATTTTAACCATCTATGGTCCTTTCATGAGGACCACTACTGGTTAAATTTTGAAACTTGAAGGACCATGGGTGGTTAACTTGGACCACGAATGGTCAAATTTGAAAGTCGAAGGATCACAAATGGTCAATTTGAAAGTTTAGGACTAAACGTGGCAAAACCACTATACTCGGAGGACCTCAGGTGGTATTAACTCTATAAAATAATGTATATTGTATACAGGGGATATACATTATTTTTGTTCTGAGTGTACATTATATTGTATAATGTACATTCAGTACAAAAATAATGTACATTTAATATGTTAAAAATGTACTTTTGTTATGATCCACATAACATTGTGTGGACCATGGTCCATACAATAATTTGCCTGCACCGTTGGCTATTCAAGGTGCCCGTGCACCTAGGAAACGTGGGTTTAGTGAACCACAGCAGCGGGCCCATGTGATGCGACTACGCCATATGACGCAAGGCACTAGTGAACAATTCCATGCACTCACCACAACAACTAATAATGCAGACCCCACCTGCTACACTCAGGCAGTTGGTCACTCACAGTGGCATGATGCCATGAACCAAGAATTCAATGCCTTACTACATAACAAAACCTGGGAGCTTGTGCCTACTAAACCAGGCATGAATATCATTGGGTGTAAATGAGTGTACCGCACCAAACGGAAGGCAGACGGAACCATAGAGCGCTATAAGGCACGCCTAGTAGCCAAGGGATTCAACCATGTAGCCGGTGAAGATTTCTTTGACACTTATAGTCCCATAATGCAGCTGATGCGGCCCAACATAATGAAGATCCATTAAGAGTACCAATTGGGCTAATCACAAAGCGCAAGTCCAAACAATTTCGGCAACTCTTCATTGGTGATGTTCAAAGATGGTGGAAATCCAAGTCAAGTCCATTTGCAAAAGATGAAGAAGAACTCAAGGCTTTTTATAATTGTTTAAGTGCTAATTTTGGAGATTAAATTAGGCCCAAATCAGCCTAATTATTTTTGGCCATCATTATTTTAAATTGTTTGGAATTAAAGAGAAAACACTAATTTGTATTTAGAAAGGATTCCTTAAATCCATGGTTGCAGTAGGCGCTAGGCGCTAGTCAGGCGCCCGGGCAGCGCCTAGCGCCTAGGCGGTCTAGGCGGAATCTAGGCGGGCACCAAAAAAATTTTAAAAAATAATGACAGACTTGTAGTTTGACAATTTTAATGAGACTGTTTTCAACATTCAATCAATTAACACATCCAAATAAATGAAATAACAATAATTTATAAGTCATAACATCATAATAATATTAAAATCAATAATTAATGAAAGACAACATGGGACGAAATTGGTCAAAATCAAATGAAATTGGTCAAAATCGGACGAAATTGGTCAAAATCGGACGAAATCGGTCAAAATCGGACGAAATCGATTGACTCGGCCGAGTTGACCGACTCGGTCGAGTTGGCCGATTTTGACCGAGTTCGGCCGAGTTGGCCGCCTAGGCGGCCGACCGAGTAATGACCGACTATAATCAAAAGCGGCACGGCATGGCGCCGCCTAGCGCCGAGGAGGCCGAGTTTTACAACACTGCTTAAATCTCATTCTAAATAGGACTATATTTACTTGCTTTCTAAATTAGGTTTAGGACTCTTTTTCCCATTGTATTTAGGATTACAATGCTGCCCTATAACCTATAAATAGGGCACATCCATATCAGTTTTGAGAGGCTTTCATTCAATAAAATCTTAAGTTTTTCTTTACACTTGTGTAAGAAACCTTATGGCTAATTGTGACCTCAATTAGTGGCTAGTCGTGGACTCGACTAGCAAATTGATTCGTGGACTCGAATCAATCTTCCTTTCTTCAACCTTAGATTTAGGTTCGTGGACTCGTTCTTGAATCGAAGGAAACTAGATTCGACTCTAGTTGATTGAAGATTGCATCATCGAGGTACTTGAAGCTACAATGGGATTCTTCCAAGTCTTCGAGGATTTGGGACTAAGGGTTTCTCGTGAGGTCTAAGGTATTTCGATCCATCCCTATCCTTGCATTGAGAGTAATCTTGGGACAATACTCCATCTTCTTTGAACCTTGGACTAGGTTCATATCAGAAGCATTCGACAATCCTACACAGTACCGCCGCTTGGCGGGTGCCTTTCAGTACCTTACTATCACGCGCCCTGATCTTGCTTTTGCGGTTAACCGGCAAATGCCAGTTTATGCATACTCTGACAGTTGAGCATTGGGGTCTCCTAAAATGTGTCTTACGGTATATTAAAAGCACGTTGGACTATGGTCTTCGTCTCTCTTCCTCACGGTCATCAGACATTCATGCCCTTTTAGATTCCGATTGGGCTGGGTGTCCAGTTGATCGCAAGTTACCAGCGGGTATGCGGTGTTTCTTGGTTCCAACTTGGTTTTGTGGGTTTCTCACAAGCAGCGCTCCATTTCCCGATCCTCGACTGAGGCAGAATACAAAGGGTTAGGAGATGTATCAACTGAAGTTACATGGATTGTGTCACTGTTACGTGAACTGGGTCTTGATTCTGGTAAACTAGCAACACTCTGGTGTGATAATCTTGGGGCCACTTACCTATGCGCCAATCCTGTGTTTCACGCTCGTACCAAGCATGTTGAGATCGATTTCCATTTTGTCCGTGACAAGGTGGCTTTCAGAGACTTCTTAGTGAATTTTGTGTCTACGAAGGATCAGCTGGCCGACATCTTTACGGAGCCTCTTCCAGCACAGCGCTTTGGAGCGCTACGTGACAAGCTCAATGTTGTCTCCCTCCAACCTTCAGCTTGAGGGGGTGTGTTAGATATATTAGATATATTAGATATATTAGGAATGTTTTTAATTACTTTTATAGTCAATAGTCTATTGTATAGGGTATCTTTTTATTCAGTAACCTTTCAGTGATAATTAGGAAGGATAATGAGAGTGGACGATTCGGGTTTCAAACTTGAGGACAAAGTTAATTTAGGAAGTAGGATCAAAGTTTTCAAAGTTGCAACTTAGGAAATAAGGTGTCCACCTTGTATGGTATAATTTGAAATAAGGAATCAAGAATAAGTTTTGAAAGGGTAGAATGGGTCCCTCAACGAAATGGTATTCGATAGACAAAGAAAGGAAAGGGATTTGGCTAGAATGGGGTTAAGGATTCCTGACTTCGAGCAATTATTCCTGTTTGTAGCTTCGTTAGATTATGACGTAATGACGAACTGATGGCCCCTTTTAGTCTTGGCACCGCCTGTCTCTAAGGTTTCCGTTGATCTTTCCTTCCCAAGCTAAAGTCTTATCCATCTTTACCGCTTTTGAAGGAATTCCCGTGATGAATTCCGTGCATACTTTCCCAAAATGCTCAAAAGTCTTTGACCTAGTTGGTTAGCAAAGTCAATCCTTAGGTCTCAACTCTCGATTCTTGCTAAGATTCCTTAAGGATCAAGGAACTTCGGGTTGGCTCCTTTGTCTTATTAAATTTCATCTCTTCCTTGGTAGATGAAGTTCTTAGAAAGACTTCGTGTCCTTCCTAGAATTTGGCTTGTTGCGCCCCTTTTTGGTGATGTTTATAGTAGTGAAAGCTCTTAGCACACTTCCCTCCTTAAAATGCAGTCGGTTACTGATTCTTATTGTGAAATGACTTGGCGATCCTTGCGAGTCGTTTTACTTCCTAATTTGATATTTTAGGGTAATTGAGGTCTGGATACCAGATTGTTCCTTACACTTCCCTTGAACGTGCGATCCTAGGGTGGATGCACAAAACCTATGATAAGAAATGTCCCTTAGACTCTAATCGTCTTCTTGGACGAAAATGATGTTTCCTTTATTCTACACGGATTCGAGGATCTTTGGTAAGGTAAACAAAAGGGCTAGGACTGGAATGGGCTTGCACTATAGGTTTCGACATCTCTTACTCTTTACAAATTCTTGAAGGAGTTCTTTGAAGATGCGAACGGTAATCAAGGTTGTAAGAAACTCGGCACATCCTTAGCGCTTGACTTGGGGCCTTTGTAAGTCCATAGCACAAGTTCTCAACTCAACTTCTTGGTTTGCATGTTTCTCTTTTTGTCAATCATTCCTAGTTGGTTGAATCGTAGGGTTCAACTGTAACTTCATAACTAACGTAATCGATAATACCTTTTTGGAAATGAGATTTGGGTTTAAGTTGTTTACCAAAGTCAACACCTTGAGGTGATCCACGGTTCCTTTACCCAAGGGTTCATGTATGCCCTTACTAATCGCTCAATAGGTCGCGTCTCGTTCACAGTTGGCAATCTTGAAATCTGCATAAGGTAGCTGGCTGTAATCCAGTCTTTTGTCTTTCCCTTGTCTTGGCTAGCGACAAGCCCCCTTTGGTCTTTCTTGAAGTTTGAATTGTCGTCCGGTCCCATTTAATCCTTTAGCGACCAAATGCTTAGTGATGCCTTTCTCTTTCTTGGAATGCATTTGGTTAACTGCTCTCGACGTCGCATGACGTTTGGCGATTTTTTGTGTCTCATGTACTTCTTACGGTACCTTAAAACCATCAAGGTCCTTATTCCAAAGTAAGATCTTCATTGCAGTGAAGCTTAGTGCACAGTACTTTCTATGAGTCCGCTGCCTCTGCTTAACACGCCGAGTCCTTTTTAACAACTATCCTAACACCAACCTAATAAGCATCAATCTTCACGCCATTTAAACAAAGCTAGGGGTTTACACCACTTGTAGGGTTTTAGCAAGGGTTCGAAAGAGAGGGATACAAAATTAGAGCAATGGCAATGATTTCAGGCTCATAACGATTTAAGGTTTCCAAGGATGAATTAGATGCAACAAAGAGTAAGTAAAGGCATAACTTGGGTTTAATTGCTTTCAAGGATAACCAAGGATTCGAGGCAAGGGTTTCAACAATTAGGAATATCGAGAGGCTGGGATTCAAGGGCAAATGATATTTGAAGCTGAGGCAAAGGGTTCACAAGTCAACATGATATACTTACCTCGTACTAAAGATTAAGCAAAGGCGTTGTTCATGCGCTACTTCACTTCCTTGCATTTAATTGGCGTTCTAGTTCTCTTTACAGGTGGTCCCACTTCCGTTACTCCTTTTCTGGATCTGTTCCTGAACTCTCCGTTGTAGAGGTTGGGATTCGGTGAAGGTCGGCGGCGCTAGCATAAGCCTCGTTGAGGGTTCTAGGTTTACTTACGGTTAAAGCCTTTTGAGTTTCGAATTTGAGACCCGCCACAAACTTCTCTACTTTAGTCGCCTCTGTGGGCACCAATTCAGGTGCGAAACGAGCTAGCTCGAAGAATCGTTTGTGGTATTCTACCACTGTAGTTATCCCCTATTTCAGGTTGAGGAATTCTGCGTACATGGCTGTCCTTACATGCGCGGGGTAGAAATGGCCCCGTAACCGAGCCTTCAGGGTTTCCCAGTTGAATCCAGGTTCTTGCCTACAGGCAGGTCCCTCTTGAACCCACAAAGAGCAGCCTTATGTCCGAAGTAGAATGAGGCTAGTTCCACACGGCGTCCTTCCGGACTTTCCACTACTTCAAAGATCTTGTCGAACGTTCGGATCCATTCCTCGAGGGTCGTAGGATCTTCTTCCCCTGCGAAGATAGGTGGGTGATGGCTCGAGACTTGGCGAGCCTTATCTGGGTTCACATTCGGGGGTGGTCGGTTGTTGTTATTAAGGATGGCGTTGCTCAACGTCTGGGCGACTTGAGTCAACTGTTGTAGGTTCTGGGTTAACGAATCTTGGGTAGGAGGCTCGGGGGTTCTCGACTGGTTCCTCGTTGGCACCATTCCGGTATTTACAGGATTAGTACTGATCGTAACTGTAAGTTAGGGGTTCGCATCCTTACCTTGATGCTATAATTATGGGTAACTCTTAAGCTAAGCACAGAATAGAGTAAGGAGAAATTAAGCAGACAATGATAGATAAACTCACAGCTTCACCGCACATCCTAAGATTCTTAAGTCATAAGTATTTAAACACCTAGAGTTAAAGCTTAACATCTTAAAGTTTCAAACTTAGAACATTATCCTAGATGCAGCCAAGATTCTTAAAGTCTAACTCTTAACATCCCAAGTATTTAAGTACCTAGAGTTCAAGCTTAATGTCCCAAAGTCTTATCCTAAAGGCATTGTCCTAGGGTCGAACTTAGGCTCTGATACCAACTGTAACACCCCTAATTTTTAAAATATTTAAAGTCCATGAAATAAAGGCAAATCTATCATTACCCATCCAAACAAAGTGGAACTAACAACATAAGTATCGGGGTGCTATGCCACATCTAGGTTTGAGAACCTAGATGCACAGGCTACACTAACTAAACAATCATAGACTATAATTAATATCCATGATACAATCCAAGGCTCACATGCCATCTAACCAATACTAAACTATCTAAGCTAGGTCCTTGTGTCCATCTAGCGCACTCTGAAGCTACTGATCTGTACCTGAAAAACATACAGTGTAACAACCGTCAGCGAATAATGCTGGTAACTCACTCCAACGCGTTTAGTACAATATAGGTAGATATAAGAAAATCATTTTGAAATGGCAATACATATATACCTAGGCAACTCTAGTTTTAAACCAAGATCAAGACACAAGGCATAACAATAGACTTGACACTATAGAACGATCATAAAGACTAGCATGCATCCTAAGAACGCAATACAAAGCATAATAGACAGATAAGCTCATAAATAACGGATAGAGACAATAATGGAATTCAAAGACAATCAATTAGCAGGTAAACATCAAGACACACAATTCATCTTCCAACCTTATACCAAGTTCAACCTTGTGGCTCCCCTCCGTCCTTATATCAGTTCCAGCCTATACCTCCAGGCCACTCTTATATCGCCTCCCTTATTCCTCCGGGCAACTACATGCCCTCACCGACAAACCACCTTTCAACTACCAACATATCAAGATAGCGTCACAGTGCCATTCACATGGTCCGTACCTCTAGTACCAATATCAAGGGGTCAGCGCATATAGCCCTGCCATGACACCGCAGCACTTATAACCTGACCCATGCTCAACGGCAAGCTAGTCGAAGGTGGGTTTGTGCATTTAACACAGTAACCGCTAAGCCTGTACCTTTAGTACAAGGACCAGGCACTCGTTGTGCTAACCGCTAACAATTCATTTCCACCAATCACAATCTCATCATCATCATCATCATCATCATCAGTCACACCGGCCATTGCGCAATGACCATGATACTCATCATCATTCAATCAATCAATCAACACATAACCAATCAATAACAATCAAGACATAACAACAACGACACGTACTACACATAAATTCCTAGAACGTTACTCAAAACACCAAACGAGACTCATACACGACAAACGAGGTATAACGGGACACGGGGAAACAACAAACGGGGAAAAAACATCACGACGCACCAACCAATTCCAGCGGGTAGGTGGCGGGTGGAGGACCACCCGCCAGCCACCCGCCGGCGGCCAACCACTACTCCAGCGGGTGGCCGGCAGGCAGACCACCGCCCGCCGGCTACCCGCTGGAACAGTGTTCCCAGGCAGCGGGTAGGTGGCGGGTACCCGTGCCCCCACCTACCCCCCACTGATACTCAGGCAACTTTGCAGTCCCGGGACCTCTCGTGGAACCCAAAACTGTAACACCCCGCGTTACGGCCCACAAACCAATTAATTAATTACCCAGAAAGAAAGATTAAAATCTCATTAACTAGGAAAGGCCCACCACAAGCCCATGGACCCTTATCCCTAAATCCAACCATTAGTCCCATAGGGAATAGAAGTAGCCGATTATATAATAGGGGCATAGGAGGCACCTAGAATTCACACCACAAATAATCCCTCACCACACAAGAAAGTTCCAAGAACTCCTTTAGGAGAAATCAAGAAAGGAGAAATCTTAAAGAAAGACCCTTCTAGCCAAAGAAATTAATTAAGGCTAAGAGGTAACCCATGTCTCAACAAAACATTTTTTCTTCGCTATAATCTCATTCTTTGGCCTCCCTCTATATTTTTGTGTCTCGATTGAATTCTTCTATGATAATTATGTTATGTTCTTGATGATTGATAAGATGATTTATATGCTTTCTTGATAATCTTGATGATCTTGATGTTAAAAGGAAATTCTTGATTATGATGTGATGATTCTTGACGAATCTTGATATTTTCTTGATATTAAAGATAAAACATGTTCTTGATGATTTGGGTGGGATTAGAGCCCTAGGTCGGATTGGGAATTTGTATTGTGACGTTCTTGATTTATATTTGGGTGGGAATTCGCATGATCGGGTGCTGTTTATATATAGGATAAGTCCTACATGATTCTTGCTTTTGATCCATTAATTGCTTATGTGATGTCGTTATTTGCGTTTAAAAGTGTCTAAGCATGGTTTCGGGTTCCACAAAGGATCCCGGGACAAATTTGTGACAAATGAGTCAGTGGGGGGGGGGGGGGTAGGTGGGGGTGGGGGAACCCACCACCTACCCGCTGCCCAAGATGGCGCTGCCCGGCAGCGGGCAGCCGGCTACCCGCTGCCCAGAACAGCGCCCACCGGCGGGCAGCTGGCGGGTGACCCCCACCCACCGGCTACCCGCTGGTCCACACCCCACCTCGGGTCTCCGGCTTCTCCGTTTGATGTTCCCCGTTCCCCACGGCGTCCCAACAGACCCCGTTTGTCGTGCCTGAGTCTAGTTTGGAATTTCGGGTACCATTCGTAGGTTAAACGAGCCTTAGCAATTGCATGCTAGTTGAATTGGTAACTCGTGGACCTAGGTGGAAGTTATATGAGCCCTTATGAATTATTCTTAGTATGTGGATGATCACATGTAAGCTTAATTATATGTCTCCCCCCTTCCCTATGTGAATTATGTGTTATTATGTGCTATTGTGTGTTACGTGATGCATGACCCCAACTTGGTTAAGATCAATTGGGCTATACTGGCAGTTGAATGGGCTGAGAACCATCCCAACTGTTAACCAGGCCGGTTAAGATCGGTCAGGGATATTAATATGATATAGGACTGAGGTCCACTATACGGGCAGTTGAATGGGTTGAGAACCATCCCAACTGTTAACCAGACTGGTAGAGATCGGTCAGGTATATAAAGATTTTGTATAGGACTGAAGGTCCACATGGGCCTCGGTGATATGACCCACCGATCGGGACGCGCCAGGCGGTATGGGGCCAACAAGCCGAGGAAGGTTGTAGTCCACCGACCTGAGTAATCAGGCGGTGTGTAGGGCTGCGACTGGTTGCGACCCACCGAGTGGTGGGACATCGGTATGTAGGACCGTAGTCTCCGAGGATCTTTGCCCACCGACTGAGTTTAGCTCAGCGGTGTGTCGGGCTTGATCCGCTACGGCCCACCGATTGTGCGCATCAACGGTGTGTAGGGTCGTAAGTCCCCCCTTGTAAAGAGGATCGCGGTCCACCGACTGGGCGCGTCAGCAGTGTGTCGGATCGTGGTCCGATGTTGAGTTCGTCAGCGGTTCTCAAAGGGTTGGTTGCGATCAACTCCCCTCGTACCGCGGTACTGAGGTAGGGTGCTGCGGGGCTGTGTTAATGCTATAGGCATTAACCCTCATGTTCGGGACATGCGATTGGTCCCGTGGCGCCATCGATGATTATGTGATATGAATGATGATTGGATGATGATGTGGATTGGAATTGAGAAGTGGCTTGTGACCGTAAATGCGTATTCCTTATGATGTTAATATTGTTGTCTGATGTTCTTATCCCTATTTGCTGAGTCTATTCCTGGTTTTAAAACTAGTGTCTCTTAAGTATATGTCTTCCTGCTTCGAAATGATTTTTGTATATATATATATATATATATATATATATATATATATATATATATATATATATATATATATATATATATATATATATATATATATATATATATATATATATATACTATATTTCAACGCGTTGGAGTGGGTTACCAGCATCTCTCGCTAACAGATATATTTGGCTTTCAAGCACAGAGGAGTAAACACTGGAGCGCGCTAGAGGTTTGGAGCGTAGAGTAGATAGTTTCCCTTTCGGCCTGCGTGCCATGCTTATGTATTTACATTATCGAGGATATTAGTTAGTTAGCCTGTGCACCTGGGTTCTCTAGCCCAGGTGTGGCATAGCACCCCGTACTCTACTATATATTGTTTTGGGATTTAATAAGAATTTACCTTTATTATATAAGTTTCAAAAGTTTTAAAATTTCGGGGTGTTACAAAAACCATGTCCAGACACATTCCAATACATAACGACAACACCACGGATTCAATTAACGGAAATAAACCAAGAATCATTCCAAATACATTCTAACACGATTCCTAAACATGCCAAGACTCAACATTAATCATATAACGGTTCAGGAGCATCCGGAACCTCAAGAACATTAAGAAATCTATATGCAAAGCCCTAAATACAAGTCCTAGGCTAGACTCAACACCCGATCATGCATAATCCCACCCAAATATACCAAGAACATCATAATACAAAATTAACGATATAAACCCTAGGGCTCTAGACATAATTAAAATGCAAGATCATACATATAGTCAATCACAATATCAAGAACATCAAGATTATCAAATAAGCACAATATAAATCCTATGCAAGGGCTCTATCAAGACTCAATCATAGAATTACACATACGATTATCAAATGAGCCAATAAATAAGATATAGCAAGGAAAATAGGTTTTGTAAGACATGAGTTACCTCTAAGCCTTAATTAATCCTCCATTGGCTATTAAGGTTCTTCTCTAAGATTTCCATCCAATTGATCTCCCTAGGCTTGGTGGTGGAGAATCTCCTGGGAATAATTTCGTGTAACATAACTATGGGTGGTAAGGGTTCTAATTGCTTTCTAATCCCTTATTTATAGAGTTAGGAATCCTAATAAGAGTCTGAATAGTAAATGCCTACTTTCTATTCCTAACAGGTATATAGGTCTAGGATTCCTAATTAGAATCTGAGTAATAAAGGCCCACTTTTTTTTTTTTTTTTTTTTTTTTTTTAAATTCCAAATAGACTTAAAGTTCTTATTAAGGATCCACGGTCCTTCGTGGACTACATTAATTAATTAAGGGATCCTGACCAGAATAAATCATTTTAACTATTCTTTAACAGAATTAATTAAATAATTAATCTGGAATTAAAGAGCGTAACATGGGGTGTTACAAGTGGGCACGGAGGCTAAGTACCGAGTCAAGCATGCTGCCTAACTAGGCTTGGTTTCCAAAGGTTGTGGTAGGTGCTAGGAGGGGGATTGTTGGGCGTCGGCCGGGTTCAGCCCTTGCTCGATTCAAGACATGGAGTTGTGACTTTCTATGGAGAGATGTGGTTAAAATGTCCACTTACTTATAACCAATTGGTTATAAGTAGGATATGTCAATCAGATATCCAAGGAACTTTGTAGTTAAGTGTGGTTGACTTACAACATTCACAGGATGGGTGACTTGTAACACCTCGTGTTACGCCTTTAAATTCGGATTAATTATTTAATTAATCCCATTAAAGGAATAGCTAAAAAAGAATTTAATTCAGTTAGGATTCCCTAAATTAATTAATATGGTCCACGGAGGATCGTGGACCCTTACCCTTAATGAAACTCCAAGTGTGAATAATGTTATTATTTAATATGTTATTTTCTATAATGTAATAGGATTAGTTTATGTGGTGCTAGTTGTTTGACTTAGACTAGCCTAGTATGTAGGAGAACTTTACGTTATCTCTACCTCTTTAGTATTATAATCCTATCTGATGAATACAGTTTGAATTTCCTCTTCTCATCTGGTATCAGTTAGCCTTACGTTAGATCCTCCTTTTTTCCCTCCCACCTCCTAAAATGTCTACCAACTCATCGGAAAGAACCGTAACCACCACCACCCCCTCCTCGGCCACCACCTCCAACCCCCTCTCGTCGGCACACCACTTTGTGTCGATCAAGCTTACGTCCCGGAATTTCTTATTTTGGCGTACGCAGTTGGTGCCCTTTTTACGTGGTCAGGAGCTCCTTGGGTTCGTCACCGGTGAGACACCGTGCCCGCCGGCCACCATCTCCGGCACGTCGTCCGGTTCAGTCTCCGGCGATGCAGCGGCGGTTCCTGCTCCAAATCCGGAGTTCCGGTCGTGGGTAAAGCAGGATGCGTCGATCCTGTCTCTCCTCGTCTCCTCCATGGCTGACGAGGTTCTTCATCTAGCAGTTGGCAGGAACACATCGAAGGAAGTATGGGACTCCATCACTGCCGCACTCGGGTCCAGCACGAGGGCTCGCTGCCTCAACCTGCTCGGACAGCTCCAGTCTTTGCGACAGGGTGATCTATCTCCGGCGGATTACATTGGCCAGGCGCAGTTGATAGTGGAGGCTCTCTCCCTCGCCGGCCGGCCCCTCTCTCTCGACGAGCAGAACCTCTGGGTGTTCCGGGGTCTCCGCCCGGAGTTCCGAAGCATGGCGTCCTCCCTCACCGTCTCCGGCAATCCGGTATCTCTCCCTCAATTGGCAGATTTTTTGCAGGCCTAGGAGTTTATTTACTCCGATGATGTTCCGGCTGGTCTCAGCAATGCTTCCAGTAGCTCTCTGGCGGCGCTCCACATCAACAGAGGCGGCAACCAGTCCGGAGGCCGCTCAGGTGGCCGTCGCGGCAATTCCGGCCAGGGTCGGGGAAACCGTGGCGGTCAGTGGCGCGGAGGACGCGGCGGTGGGCGTGGTGGCGGACAGCCACGCTGTCAAATCTGTCGTGCTCATGGCCATTCCGCCATCTACTGCAACAAACGCAACTCAACTCAGCCGTCGCAAGCCAATTTGACGGTCACCGGCGAAGAAACGGCATCCTCGGCCGGTTCATGGTTCCCGGACACCGGCGCGTCTGCCCACGCGACACCGGATGCATCCATGCTGTCCCAATCCTCGGAGTATAATGTTATCTGATGAATACAGTTTGAATTTCCTCTTCTCATCCCAAGCCTGTTAGAATAAGGAAAGATGACCCATTATTAATTAGACTCTGATTAGGGATTCCTAAACCTATATGAAAGGGGATTAGGGAGCATTTATAACCCTTCCCTCTCCACCACTCGAATTCCCCTCTTAGAATTCAGACGAAGAATCCCCGCCACCAAGCCTAGGAAAGATTGTTAAGAAAAGGATCTTGAGGAAAGATCCTAGAAGTCGTAAGGAGCTTAATTAACGCTACCAGGTAACCCATTTCCTACAAAACCTATTTTCCTTGCTATCTTTTATTGATTGGCTCCGTTAGATAATTGAATGAGTGATTTTGTATGTTTGCTTTGTTAGAGCTTGTCTTTAGGATTTATGGTATGTATTCTTGTTATTTTTGATGTTCTTGATGAACTTGTGTGGTTGATTGCTTGTTCATGGGTTTATGAGTATATAGAGCTTGCATTAGGGTTTATATGGTGAATCTTGTTATTTGTTACGTTCTTGGTATTCTTGGTTGGATTTATGCATGTTCGGGTATTATTCTAGGTTTAGGGATTGTCTTTAGGGCTTTGTATATTGGTTTCTTGATGTTCTTGAGATTCTTGATGCTCTTGAACCATTATGTGTTTATCCTGGAGTCTTGGCATGTTTAGAGTTTGCGTTTAGGCTTTGATTGTGTTGTTTCTTGGCTTGATCTATGTGTTCAAATCCCTATTGTTGTTTATATGTGTTTGGGCGTGTTGGGACTTGATTTTGGGTGAAATTGGGGAAATTCCCGAGATGGGAAATTGGCCAAGAAATATGTTCTAGCGGGTAGTCGGTGGAGGGACGACCCCCCACCAGACCACCCGCCGGAAAAGGGGAATTGTTCCAGCGGGAGGACGGCCACCCGCTGGAACGGCATGGTTCCGTCGGCGGGAGGTTGTCCTCTGATAAACATTATTTTTAGTGTTATTTTTAATAATATTTTTATAGTTAATTTATAATAATTGATTAATTTTATATCTATTTTATTTATTATTGTGATTAGTAGCTTTGTTAATATTATTCAATTTTAAGTTGTTTTACTTATTAAATTTGTTTTATTATTTGATTTTTGTCATTCCAATAACTCATTGATCCTAATTTTTTCATTATTATTATAATTACTAGTTCTTTTACGCACTTTGTGCGAATGAGATAATGCCCAATAATTATTTTTAAATAAGTATTTCAAAGTATATCAATGCAATATTATATAGGAGATTTTCATGCATATGTAAATAAATGTTGAATTTGTTTATTTAAATCGGTAATTTAAAGTATATAAATGCAAGATAATATATGAGAGATTGATTATAATTGTCACTAAAATAAATGTTTGCAACTTTGTAATAACGCTAGTCTAAATATTTAGTTTTAAAGCGATAGTCTAAATAAATACTACTTTTGATTTAAATTTCTCTAATTCTTCTTAATTCTTTTTCGGGTAGCATTGTTATTGTTTTCATCTTCAGTACATGTCCTCTTTTTTTCTTTATTGGTAGTGTTTCATGTGCAATTAGGTTACTGGTAGCAGCATAGAGGGATTCATCATGCAATGAGATTATGGTGTAGGAAGTTTTAGATTTACCTTGCTGTGTATATGACTGAGATTTTAGTTGTAATATGAACTCTTTAGCGTACAAACACCTATTGTATTTAGTAGTGGTAGTTTTTTTCCTACATGTTTCATGTGTTGTGAGATGTGTGTCCCAGGTTATCATGTGAAAGTATTGAACGAAATATTAATATTTATTATATTTGTATAAAATACTTGGTAAATAAATAAATAAATAAATAAATAAATAAATAAATAAATAAATAAATAAATAAATATATATATATATATATATATATATATATATATATATATATATATATATATATATATATATATAACATGTTTTGTATTATAACTTTGATATTTAATTACAAGATAATGTAAAATAGAAGACAATGAACAATGTAGTAAATATAATAAATTAATAAATTTGAAGGTAAGGAATCTTTGAATTGTAGAAAATAAAGATAATATAACTAATGAAATTATATTTGATCAACAACTTTGTAGTTAGGCCGTGCAGGTCTGACAATGATGTAAGAACATTGTTCGATAAAAAAAAATAATAGTATAATATTAGTAATGTAATGTACAATTGTACCATTATAAAAAAATACAAAAAAAATATTAATACCATAATGGCCTAAATCATTCCAATAATGCAAAAGCATAATTGAAATATTAAGTTTAGTTCTAAATAATCAGAAGAAGATTAATTTAAAAAAAAAAAAACTTAACATAAATTTGTTTTTTTTAATAAAAAAATTCAAGAAAATCAAATAATTTTAAAGTAGTTCCTGATTTATAATATTTGATGCTCAACTTTAAATGCTATGTATTTAGTCGAGCTAATTATTTGACCAAAGTTTATGTTAAATTTTATATTATATATATTTTTAATACATTTTAACATATTCATAATATATGTTTAACAATTATGTTAATTATACTTGGGATGAGGTTCGAACCTAAAAACTTATATAAATTAAGAGTATGTTAAGAATAATAAATAGTTAACGGAATATATGTTTAACAATTATGTCAATTATACTTGGGATGTGGTTCGAATCTAAGACCTTATATAAATTAAGAGTATGTTAAGAATAATAAATAGTTAACGGAATATTCCGTTACTAAAGTTTAAACTAACGGAATTTAGGGTTATTTAAGGGAAGAAAATAATATAATAGAGGGTAAATAAGAAAAATCATTAAAAGATACTAAAATCAAAATAATATGAACCATTCATTTTAAGAAACAATTAGTACCGACATTTTTTTTTGTTCCAGTTAAGGGCCTAACATTATTCGCTCTTATTAGATTTGTATATATATTGTATATTTGTATTTGTAGATGTAGATTGTAGATGTAGATTATTATTATTATTATTATTATTATTATTATTATTATTATTATTATTATTATTATTATTATTGTTGTTGTTGTTGTTGTTGTTGTTGTTGTAGTTGTTGTTGTTAATAAGTTAGTTTAGTTAATTGTTGGTTAGCCCGTTATTTAAGAGCATCAAATAATCTTCTCCGTCAATGGCATCGATGAACAAGATTAGAGAGCCCTACGGAGATCAGAACTAGAACTCCCGCAGCGGCCCGGTCATCTTGGCGATCCGATTGAGCAGCAGGCATTGGAAGAAATGGTCTTCAGTGGTTGTCCTTGGCTTGAGTTCTTCTGCGTAATTGAACCAAGGGATTCAGAGCATTTTATGGCAGAATTGCGGGAGATTTTCGAGTGGAGGCGATATAAATAGAGGGAGATGCTAAAGAAGATGGCATCATTCTCCTCGCCAAGCTCCGTTTGGCGAGTTAAAGTTGAAGTAGCCCGGATCAATTCCGACGGTGTGGCGGCAGTTTTTGAATCGCAGGGACGGCGAGCTCCAGTTCGGCGGCGGCGAATTTCCAGTCTGGGAAGCAGCGATTTTCCAGCGCAATTCTCTTTGGCAACAACAATTCATACACGACAATTATTGTTGATTGCAATATTTTAATCCTTGGCACCAATTTTTGCCAATTAAGATTCTTTACAATTTGGCATAATTAATATTCTTCGCTCTTTTCTTTCTGCCAATGTTTCTGTTATTATTGTTGATTCTGCTTTGCTAAATTGATTCATGTCTTTTATTCCCTGCTATTTTGTTTAGTTGCAATTCAGTTCTTTTTCTCTTATTTAGTTGATTTGTGTTTAGCTTCCAATTCTAATTACCATTAAAGCTCTTTTATTTGTTTGATAGATAGTGATTTAATTTGTGAGTTGAGGTTGTGATTGCGGTACTGTGTGAGTTACAGGTTTTTAACATGTTTAACAATTGCTATTCATTTTGCATAAAGAGATTTACTGTTAATTTATACTTGTCTTGCTAAACTTTTTATTTTACTATGAGTATTTTGCAAAATTGATCTTTAAGTGTAATGGTAGTTGATTCTTCAATCTTATTGTTATTTTATTCTGATGCATGATATTTTAATTGCTTAGCTCTCTTTTAGTTTTGGTTTAATTATTTTATCATTTGATTTGGTCTTCAACTTTGTTATTTATTTTGCTCACTTTTATTTAAGTTAGCTTATTTTATTTATAGTTGTTAAATTGCATTGTATCAATTCCTTGTGGGATCGACCCTTGCCTTTGCACGCTATTACTACAGTGACTCGTGCACTTGCGAGAACATTATTAAAATTGTCCATCATCCTTCCGCCGTACCCCCGCGGGTACGAGCCGGTGCGGGGTCGTTCGGTCTCCGTTGGTCGAACCCCGTGCCTCGTGGTGTCTTCGTTGATGTTTTCAGGTCAAGTATGATGTCTTGTGTGTCGTAATGTGAATTGTGAGTCGTGTCTTTGCATATGGCCCATACTCGTATCGTGTGGTGCCAGAGTGTGGTCTATAGTGGTCTTTAATGTGTCTTATGGCTGCCTTGAGGACGCTTGTTGTTGAGAGTCAATGTGCATGATGTGCCATTCCCCGCTTATCCTCTTGTGGAGTCATTGTT